TAAACCTTTTAAATTCAAAAACTATTCGTTAAGGGTTTAAAAAGCGACATTTCATTATTTAAAAATTAATTTAAAATAAATATCACTATATTTCCGAGCTGATTTCAGAAAGTCACGGAAATAGAATGTAAAAATAAGCAATTTTAAGGTAATCTAGCAAAAGTTTTTTAACAAAATGTGGTTTACGTATGGTCTACATTATAACTGAAGACCACTAGGTAAACATAATAATTCTTCATTGTTTCCGCAAGAATCTGAAACCATCTACAAATTATAAAAAAATATTATTAAGTAGAAAAGTTCAGTGTAGCCCGAAAACTCACAAGACCAAAAACATCAGAATTTTCAAATTGTTCTTTAAAGGAATAAAGGAATTATTTTTTTAAGAGTAAGTTTAGTACGACAAGCAGGACACCGATGATAGGTCCTGATGGCCGTTTTAATACAGGGGGTGCAGTACACATGGCCGCATACGGTAGCGCTCAGTTCTTTATCATCTGAAAGGGACTCTAAACATATAGGACAAAGTTTTTCTGGTTTTTCCTTTGTTTCCTGCAAAGACCCATACAATGCTTGTTAAAATCGTCATTACTACATATCTACATATATATATATACACATATATTATTGCTCCTAAAAACTTTATTTTTCGAAAACAATTTTAAATACTATAGCAAAGCCGAAAAAAGTATACCATACTGCAGTCACTAGCAGAACGAAGATAATTAATATATAAATTCTATTTTCTTGAAATAAAACATTAGAAACTGCATTTTTCAAAGATGCATTTATGTATGTGGAACTATGGCAGTAATTTCGTGAACATAACGAAAACGCATAAGAGGTCCTTAGGTAGGGTAAGTGCGCGCTTTTCAATCAAACTTTACTCACCCTTTTCTCATTTCCTTTCAGACTATCATCCATTTTAACATCTTTATCCAAGATTTCTGGGGTTTCAATAATCTCAATGGAACTATCAAAGTCTATACAATTACTTTTTTCGGCTTCTATGCGCCGACGTTTATTTTCTTCTTCTTGTTTCCACATTCTACTCCACAATTTAAAAAATAATTACTTTTTCAAAGAAAATGTCGTCAAAAAATATCAAAACATTTGCACATGATTACCTTTCGTAACGTTCTTCTACTTCCATCGAAATTTTATCCCTGTGTTCTGCCACAATTTCGTCAACATATTCCATTACTTCGGCGTCTTTAGGACTATTAATGTCACTGAAAATTAAGTAAAAAATAAGTGAAGGAAGAAATAATTCATTAAATGGTACAAAGCAAAAATAAAATTAGTTCTCTAGTTACATTTACAACTGTAAATGTAATTATGCACGTAAAGTATGCATAATTTTTTAACTACGGAAAAGGTAACTTATTTATTTGCAATAAATCCCAAGACTTCAGTCATTAGTTTGGAGCTTCTTAAGGGGTAATTGTAAAGTTATTTAGCTTAAGACACGCAAAGTACTTTCTTTTATCATAAGTGAAATGAAGATTTTTGTGCACATTTGATTACAAGTATCCCTGAAGAAACCTCAAACTAAGGGGTGAAACGTTTAGATTTATTGTAAATAAATAATATTTTTATTATCTGAAATGGTTCAGATTGGTTGTTCTCTATTAAATATCATATCAGTGATAACTACGAAGTTTTTCTAAAAAGGGGTACATACATTTGAGTTCTTATTGTAATAATAAATATGATGATAATTTGTTATCAATTAAAAATAACATAAATATAGGGTGACTCCAGAGTACGTTTCTTTTACAGACCTTGCATTCTTGTGCCGAGTCGATATAGGTGTTAGAGAGTTGTCGCTTTCCAAATTAACAGCCCAGCTAGTACTTGGAACAGGTTCAAGTCCTACCGATACAGCAATAACATTATTGTGAACATTTTAGTTGTTTTGTTTATTAAAAAATTATTAACCAAGTAATACCTTGACAACGTTCTACAACACTGGTAGGAATGGGCGTTCTACTTTGAATAGACATCCCACCTTCCTTATAATCGACCCGTTCGATCACGTTAGTTTCTGGTGACAATATCATCGATTTCGCGTGCTTTCTAATTATTCTTTGAATCTCGTCTTCGGTTGCCTCTGGGGACTTTATCAATTCGTCCTCTTTGATTTGAATAATGTCGGCTATCGGTGCTTTAGTGCCATAATCGACGCGGTTTGGTGTAATTAAATTTATGTAATCTTGAATTTGCTTGCGCTTTTCTTCGGGCATGTTAACACTGGAGCGAATATCATTTAAAACCTAGCATTTATTTTATATTAGTGATGGAATTTTATTATACATTTTCTTAAAAATAAAATATATAGATATGTAATAGTTCAAGAATGCAATCTCCTCTTTTTATATATTGTTAAAAGAAAATGCAATGGAGTCGTTCTACCCATCAAAATAATTTTACTCCCGCTACTTTAAAAAGTTACTACACAATGGAAACGATAATTAGACATACAAATAAATAAATGCAATAATTGCTAAAATTTAATTAAGAATTGTTAATAAAAACAGCTAACAATTGAAAAAATTAAAATACAGTTTTACATGAACTTACTACATCATCGTCATCATCGGAATCTGGTACTACATAGACATTATTATCTATAACAGGCCTAGGATTTCTTCGTACGCTTTTTTCAACAAGTATTGGAGTATCGTCAATTTCGTAGACATGTATTGGTTTACTATCTTGCATTGCCTGCATTGAGAATTCATAGAGCTAGTTCTTAAATATGTTAGTTTGTAATAAATAATTAATCAAGCAAAATGTAAATGTCATCTAATATTTTTTTGCTGTGCTTTTTGTTGTACTTTATCAAAAGTTAAATATGTAACAGTAATATTGTATAAACAATTGGTAATTAATAAAGAGCAACAAACAGCAAATGGTTACAAAATAAAAACCACCTTTACTCTTCATTTATATACCTTTACAAATAAATTAAAATTTTATTGATAGAAACAATCATGATAAAAAAAACTAGTAAATGCTGAAGTTAAGCATTTTTAATCTTCAAAGTCAGATTAAATTGTTTTTGTGGTAAGTATAAAGACTTAAGATGTTATGTGTAAAATAAAAATAAAAAGGAGTAAAGTTTTATTGACTCAAAAACCCTCAATAAAAACGTTTTTACCCTAAAAATTGTCTATGATTTCCACGTTCATTAAAAAAAGAGGAAAAAATGGAAACTGTATTAATTTCTTACTGTAGTTTTTGTCCTTATTCTTGTGTTATATGGACTAGAATGTAATGACGAAGTTGAGACGCTTCTTTTACGAATATTTCCTCTAGATGTTTTTTTACATGATGGTGAGACTTTCTTAGTTTGAGTTTGAGAACCGTTATTTTGTCTTTTCGAAACATTTTTTCTTAGTTTCCTTGGTCTTGCCATTCTTTTCTTAATTTTAAATTTCACCGATAATGAAGTAAAACAACTTTTAGGCTTGTTAAAAACAAAGTTAACACTCACTTTCTACAAATAATAAAACTAAAACAAGGAAATTTTTATAATTACTGTGATTGTATTAACAATACTATTAATAATGTCACTATATTTTTCTCCATTAAAGGGACTAAATTTCTATAGATGTTTTTACACTTTTTATTTTAATAAAAACAAACTATTTATCTAGCCGATAATTTTTGTGATTACACCATACCAGTACAGCAACATTCGACATTTTGAAAAACGTTATAAACATGTTACAAACCCAAAATATACTAAATAACGCATATGTATATATACCATCAGCTGTACAGATTGCAGAATGAGCAAAAAATAGATAATAAAACAAATTTATGGTCACTGGTGAACCCATGGTGAGCAGGTAAGGTTAGCATATATGTCTCTTATCTATTATTTTAACTATCTATTGTATATCTATGGTATATCTATCACAGATTCATTTTAACTATCTATGATTTTAACCTTAAAAGTCTCTTAAATCAAGTATAGTAAACTGAAAATACATGTATTAATAAAAGTTGAATACCGAAATGTGTTAAATGAGAATACGTTGAGAAAATGCAGTTTATAAGAGCAACTACAAATGTGGTCCTCAGCAATAGCAGTTTCCTGAAGCTTAATTTAGTAAAAACTATCTGGACGTCTAAACCATCGTACTTAAAAGAAGTACGTGAAATTGAAAAGGGCAGTGAACTAATAGTACAAGGAGTAAATTACCCATCACCTAGAGAAAATTACTTGCTTAAGAACACAAATGCATCTGTTTGCCCTATATGTAGCTCAGGACTAGATATTAAACATACAGATGTGTTAATTTTAAGTCAATTTGTACGATCAGATGGCTGTGTTCTTCCGCGAAGGATTACTGGTTTATGTAGAAGACAACAAAAAAGGGTTTCTTCTTTGGTAGCAATGGCACAAAAAGCAGGATTGATGTCCAACTTAACTCCAGCGAACAGTAAAAAGGATCCAAAGAAAAGACGAGGTTGGAAGAAATACAATAAATATTTTGATGAGTCAACTATTAAATTAAAATAAATGTAGCATATTGAACATGATAATGAAAAGTGTACTGGTTTTAATTGAGTTGTGATACATGTTTAAGAAATTAAAAGATTTGTCAAATGTAATGCAGCATATATGCTGTATTTTGTATTTTCAACTCTACTCAATAAATACAAAAAAAAGAGTATTCAATTATGAAAAGTAAATTACATTTTCTTAAGCAGTTTACAGAATTAAAAACGAAACATAGTAGGTATTATACATATTATTCTTTTTACAAATATTCATAAAAAACAGACATATACTACAAGAAATTTCTTATATTCTATCATAGGATTCAGCTGTTGGTACACTTATCGGATTACAACCGTTTAACAGGAAGAGAAAACCATCCTTAAATAAAAAAAAATTAAGGTTTTAGATCAACTACTGTGAACTATTATGTATGTCACTATTATTTCTTAATTAAGTTTTCTGCTTACCCTTACAAGAGATGGTAAGCCAGACCAAAATTCATAATTTGGTATCATTTCTTTACCACGAGCGCCCCTTAAGAAATGTAAAACTAAGACTCCACCTACTAGGTATACAGTTAAACATACAAAAAATATTATAAGTAAAACAGATCCTGTACTTAGACCTCGGTGATATAGTAAGACACAAGAATGTGGGGAAAATAACACCAAATTCTAAAAGTTTACTATACTAATAGTATTTTGAAATTAATAAAACAATTATTAACTTACATATGTAGATGAATCAGGTGGAAGAGCAAGTAAATAAGAATTTTGTAGATTTGTGCAAGCAAGGGTAATTACTGCCGATTGGTTTGTTGCACTATAAGCAAGATATTTTATAAGGAATTTAATAAAAGAAAGAAATTGATATAATTATTAACTCAATTAGAAAAATTGCAAATAGGTATATGTACATGAACTTACATTTGTTTTGGCACTATCAAGAAGTCGATTTCACCATCTCCTCTTTTAAAAGTACCTTCTGTTTTACCAAAACTATAAGTAATATTTTTGTGTCTATCAAATATACAAAACTGAAATTATAAAAATAAAATAAAATACACCTACAGTAAGCACTATGATGTACACAATTATTAAAAATTCAAGAGGTACCTATGAACAAAAAATAATTTACAATAGTATCAATAAGTGCTTGATTTTAAAGTAATAGATATTCAGGAGTAAAGTTATTAATTTAATTTAAGTACATAAGTATTCTTTTGCCAAAGACAAAAAGAATCTGTGAACTTCAAAAACTTACTGACGTATTTTTGCAATTATTTGTAATATTTGGGAATTTATCATTTGGTAGAGTAAAATACGAGCAACCAGAAAAATAGTACGTTAAATTTCCTTTCTCTGCTGTGAGGTACTTTTGGCCATTTGTAATATTTGATATGTTTATGTATTTATCATCATTCATATTGCAAAGGCACGTAGATGTACTCGAACATATTTCTTCTGCTAAATTTGTACACACTAAACTAAACAGTATTAAAAAACAATATAAACACTTAGAAAAATAACTTCCAGCCATGATTCATTTCTAAAATATAAACAAACATTGAGGTTATGAGTTGTACGTTATCATTACGTTATCGACTATGGTATAGATAAGAGATATATGGTTGGTCTATGGGCTACGGTTATCGGCCATATATAGATGCATGCCAGATTCACACGACATATGTGTCAGTTATGACCATAGACATATATTAATGGACTGCCTTAGCCGTATGTCGTTGTAATAATTTCTTGGCTTGAAAAGTGAGAGAGATGGCGTATGGTTTCGGACTAGTGCTATCTCTTTCATGACACGCCTACGCAGTATGGTGAGAGAGATGGATATTGTCCGAAACTTCATTCCATCTTTTTCTTTTGTTGTACCACAATTCTGACCGCTAAGGCATGTCCATTAGTAAACGTCGATGGTTATGACCATAGATAATACTTTAATCTATGGATAATACATATCATGGTCATCAATGAAAAATATTATACATACCAAAATGTTTGTTGAAATAAAAGTATTTCCTGCTTAAATCATATTTATCTTGTATTGTATTGTATTACGTTATATTGCATGATATTTTTAAGTTGATTTGATTTAATAAGGTGTACTGTAATTCAGTTATGTTACAGGTCAATAACATTCTACAAATGCATATATTCTAATGTCAAAAAATATAAGCAGTTTTGTAATTAATAATAAGCATTTTTAATTAAAAGTAAGAAATGTTTTTTCCCACAATTTAATCTTATCATATTGAGTTACATAACATGTTAGTATGCCCCTATAAATGTTAAAACGAAGCACTTGGTTACAAGTTTGATCCTGTAACATGCTGAAGATGTTTTATATAAATTAACTTAAGCATTAAAATGAACGAAAAGAAAGAGATTGTTGTAGTAGGATCCTGTATGATAGATTTTGTTTGGTAAGCAACTAAATAATTTTTCAGTTATTCAATTCTTTGTATCATATTGTTTCATGTATCCATTATGTAGTAATACGTAAAATACACCACATGCGCTGATAAGCGCGTTCTATTTTGTAATTTTTAAGTTATGCACCAAGACTGCCAAAAGAGGGCGAAACCATTCATGGTTACAAGTTCAACACTAACTTTGGCGGGAAAGGAGCCAACCAATGTGTAGCGGCAGCGTACTTAGGGGGAAATACAGCGCTTATTGCCCGGGTAAGCTTAGTTATTAATCAGTAGCGGTTCATTTAAAATTTCCAAAATTGAAAATTTAATTTATTAGGTAGGTGATGATTTATGGGGTGAAAAGTATATTGATCATTTGAAGAAAACTAAAGTTGATACTACTTTTGTAAAGAAAACATCAAATAGTGCAACTGGCATAGCTCAAATTACAGTGTCTGACACTGGTCAAAATCAAATAGTTATAGTGGCGGGCGCTAATACAAAATTATCTGTGGAGGACGTGAAATCTGCAAAAGAGCTAATTAGTTCAGCAGAAGTTGTAGTTTGTCAGTTGGAAACTTCTATTGATGTTGCCGTTGAAACTTTAACAATATGTTCTAAGGTAAAAAATAAAAAAGGTATTACCTAACACCTTGTGTTCCCATTATACATGTATTTTCTTGTTTGTTTGCGTAGATATCTATTTTGAATGCTGCTCCGTCAATAAAAGAATACGAAACAAAACTTTTGTCATTACCCACCATATTTTGCGTGAATGAAGTGGAAATTGAAGATTTTACTGGAGTAACAGTAAATTCCCTTGAGTAAGTACCTACATGTATTTCCTTTAATTTATGTTAAGGATGTTTGCGAGGTATGTCAAAACGCTACGAGACAAATAAAAAATTTGGAAGAACGTTCCTCATTCAATTCTAAAATTCCTGTAAAAATTACAAATTGATTCACTAAACCGTTAAAAAGTTATTGAGATTTTAAAAAATTGTAATTTTACACGTCATTTTATGGAGATTCGTTAACCGAACAGATTAAATTTATTTTTATTAACAGAAAAAAAGCTACCAGAAATTTCAAACTNTAAAAATATTTTAGTTTTGATAACTCTTGATAATTTGGCCAGCGATAATTTGTTTATGCACATCATTTACACCGGCATAAATTTCTGTTATTCTGGCATCTCTGTAATGTCTTTCCGCAGGCATGTCCGTCACATATCCCATTCCACCTAAAATCTGAATGGCATTGTGTGAGACGAATGTTGCTGCTTGACTAGCAGCTAGTTTTGCCATTGACGATTCTTTCGAAGATCTTACTGGCTCGTCACATAAAACTGCCGCTCTCCATACTAAAAGCCTGGCAGATTCTAAAGCTACAGCCATTTCTGCTATCCTTAACTAGAACAAAGAAAAAAATAAAAAACAAAATGATTGTAAAAATGCACTTCTTTAGAAGTTGATGTACGAAAATTTTAAATGATATTGGATCCTAAGACCTGTTGTTTGCAATAGTAACACGATGATAGTATTTAAATTACCAATAATTATATTTGACATTCTTCTCTTTTTGCGAATGTGATTAATTAAAGTCAAAATGGGGCAAACATTTTATTTTTTTTTTCTAGGCTAATATACAGGTGGAAAGTTTTGAGTACCAAGTACATATTTATTTTAATGGAAGAATTAAAAGCTTTTAGTTGTACTATCCGTTTGTCACCATGTAGATTATTTTAATTTTTTCTAATTAATGTGTATGTATGTTAGCCATTACTGCTATTATTTATGTAATTGTTAATTATGTCTAGTGTCAATTCTTCTATTAATATGTACCTGTTACTCAAAACTTTCCACTTAATTTTTACTAACTTAAAATGCAATTTTATGTGAAAGCATCAAACGTTATTGATGAATTGTGATAAGACGACATTTTGGGTAACCTTATACAATTTAAAAATATACCTGAACAGCTTGCATTTCGTTGATAGGACGACCAAATGCCTTCCTTTGTGACGAATAATCGACAGCACAGTCCAGAGCAGCTTGTGCAATACCAAGTGCTTGAGCAGAAATTCCGACACGAGCGTTATCAAGTTGACTCATTGCAATTTTAAAACCTTCTCCAACGTTACCTTTAAAAACATTTTTCAATCATCTAACAGTACAGTTGAAGTAGAAATAATATTACCTAATACATTTTCTTTCGGTATTCGAACGTCTTCAAGGATTATATTACAAGTAGACGAGGCTCGTATCCCCATCTTGTCTTCTTTCTTTCCTAGAGATAGTCCCTGATAAGGTAGAGGAATTAAAAAGGCAGTGATACCTAAAAGTCGTTTAAACTACTGAACGTATTCTAATATTATGGTACCTATATGTACTGTATACCTTTGTGCTTTTGCTTTTTATCAACTGTTGCAAATACCACTACTGCCTTCCCTTCATATCCACTAGTCACCCACGATTTTGTGCCATTGAGGATATAATGATCACCATCTAATATCGCAGTTGTAGAAATTGCACCAACATCACTACCGGCGTCTAAGAAATGTATAAAAAAATATTTCTTTTTTACTCAAAATTTAAGAAATGGTACCGGGTTCGCTTAGGGCAAAACAGCCAAGCGTGCCGCCAGTGAATGGTCTCAGAAACGTTTCTTTTTGCGCATCAGTGCCCAATCTATCCAGTAAATTTACGTAAAGGCAATTATGAACAGATACAATGGTACCTGTACCACCACATCCTCTAGCAATCTCTTCAACTGCAATAGCTAGTGATAGACTATCCAGATTTGAGCCACCCCATTTTTCTGATACATTTATTGATAATAAACCAAGTTCGCCTAGTTTCTTAATCTAAATAGAGAAATAATTTTTGAATCTACATAAAAAATCTTAAGCTACTAATATAATTTTGCATACTTGCTCAGTGGGAAATTTGTGCTCTTTGTCGAGTTGTGCCGCCACTGGCTTCAACTCAGACTCCGCAAAATCTCTGCATGTTTTCTGTAGCATTTCATGTTCATTCGTCAATATTATGCTAAAATATCGTATACATTGTGGCAATGTTCCTGAAAGATTTTTCGTAAAAATTTTAATAACTATATAACGTGTCCAAAGGCAAGTTTCAAACGTTGAACACACTGTATATGTACATAAAAGTAACAAGTCCATTTTTTATTTTTAATTCAAATTAATTTAATATTTCAATAAGTAAACAAAAATATACTTACTATTTTTTAAAAGCTTTGTTATATTTCTCAAAGCCATTTTATTAACTGTAAGGTTGGCAGAATCTTAACTATCGCAGAATTAAACGAAAATTTAACATAATAAGAAAGTGAGATAAACTACATTTTTACCAAACCTTATTTATTGTCATTAAATGTTGAGCTTCAAACGCATATATTATCTCTTTATCGTGTTGTACATATTATTACGTAATTTATCATGTTGTAACTGTTAAATATATTTAATTATCAGATTCTCTGTAAATATTTATTCCAAAGTAATGGAAACATAATATGTTTTTATTGCAATTGTACATACAATATGTCACACGTAAAATTTGAAGTGTCTTGCAGTGTAACGTGCCATTTGTATAATGCGTTTTCTTTTTAACTAAATAAGAATTCTTGAATGTTCGTTTGTAATTAAATACTACGATAAACGGGTCATTTTTGGAAGAAGAGAAAGACGTAAAATTTCATAGTTTTTATTACTGAAAATTATAGTCGTTTAACTTAAAATATATAAAAGTANCAGCTAACAATTGAAAAAATTAAAATACAGTTTTACATGAACTTACTACATCATCGTCATCATCGGAATCTGGTACTACATAGACATTATTATCTATAACAGGCCTAGGATTTCTTCGTACGCTTTTTTCAACAAGTATTGGAGTATCGTCAATTTCGTAGACATGTATTGGTTTACTATCTTGCATTGCCTGCATTGAGAATTCATAGAGCTAGTTCTTAAATATGTTAGTTTGTAATAAATAATTAATCAAGCAAAATGTAAATGTCATCTAATATTTTTTTGCTGTGCTTTTTGTTGTACTTTATCAAAAGTTAAATATGTAACAGTAATATTGTATAAACAATTGGTAATTATAACTGAAGACCACTAGGTAAACATAATAATTCTTCATTGTTTCCGCAAGAATCTGAAACCATCTACAAATTATAAAAAAATATTATTAAGTAGAAAAGTTCAGTGTAGCCCGAAAACTCACAAGACCAAAAACATCAGAATTTTCAAATTGTTCTTTAAAGGAATAAAGGAATTATTTTTTTAAGAGTAAGTTTAGTACGACAAGCAGGACACCGATGATAGGTCCTGATGGCCGTTTTAATACAGGGGGTGCAGTACACATGGCCGCATACGGTAGCGCTCAGTTCTTTATCATCTGAAAGGGACTCTAAACATATAGGACAAAGTTTTTCTGGTTTTTCCTTTGTTTCCTGCAAAGACCCATACAATGCTTGTTAAAATCGTCATTACTACATATCTACATATATATATATACACATATATTATTGCTCCTAAAAACTTTATTTTTCGAAAACAATTTTAAATACTATAGCAAAGCCGAAAAAAGTATACCATACTGCAGTCACTAGCAGAACGAAGATAATTAATATATAAATTCTATTTTCTTGAAATAAAACATTAGAAACTGCATTTTTCAAAGATGCATTTATGTATGTGGAACTATGGCAGTAATTTCGTGAACATAACGAAAACGCATAAGAGGTCCTTAGGTAGGGTAAGTGCGCGCTTTTCAATCAAACTTTACTCACCCTTTTCTCATTTCCTTTCAGACTATCATCCATTTTAACATCTTTATCCAAGATTTCTGGGGTTTCAATAATCTCAATGGAACTATCAAAGTCTATACAATTACTTTTTTCGGCTTCTATGCGCCGACGTTTATTTTCTTCTTCTTGTTTCCACATTCTACTCCACAATTTAAAAAATAATTACTTTTTCAAAGAAAATGTCGTCAAAAAATATCAAAACATTTGCACATGATTACCTTTCGTAACGTTCTTCTACTTCCATCGAAATTTTATCCCTGTGTTCTGCCACAATTTCGTCAACATATTCCATTACTTCGGCGTCTTTAGGACTATTAATGTCACTGAAAATTAAGTAAAAAATAAGTGAAGGAAGAAATAATTCATTAAATGGTACAAAGCAAAAATAAAATTAGTTCTCTAGTTACATTTACAACTGTAAATGTAATTATGCACGTAAAGTATGCATAATTTTTTAACTACGGAAAAGGTAACTTATTTATTTGCAATAAATCCCAAGACTTCAGTCATTAGTTTGGAGCTTCTTAAGGGGTAATTGTAAAGTTATTTAGCTTAAGACACGCAAAGTACTTTCTTTTATCATAAGTGAAATGAAGATTTTTGTGCACATTTGATTACAAGTATCCCTGAAGAAACCTCAAACTAAGGGGTGAAACGTTTAGATTTATTGTAAATAAATAATATTTTTATTATCTGAAATGGTTCAGATTGGTTGTTCTCTATTAAATATCATATCAGTGATAACTACGAAGTTTTTCTAAAAAGGGGTACATACATTTGAGTTCTTATTGTAATAATAAATATGATGATAATTTGTTATCAATTAAAAATAACATAAATATAGGGTGACTCCAGAGTACGTTTCTTTTACAGACCTTGCATTCTTGTGCCGAGTCGATATAGGTGTTAGAGAGTTGTCGCTTTCCAAATTAACAGCCCAGCTAGTACTTGGAACAGGTTCAAGTCCTACCGATACAGCAATAACATTATTGTGAACATTTTAGTTGTTTTGTTTATTAAAAAATTATTAACCAAGTAATACCTTGACAACGTTCTACAACACTGGTAGGAATGGGCGTTCTACTTTGAATAGACATCCCACCTTCCTTATAATCGACCCGTTCGATCACGTTAGTTTCTGGTGACAATATCATCGATTTCGCGTGCTTTCTAATTATTCTTTGAATCTCGTCTTCGGTTGCCTCTGGGGACTTTATCAATTCGTCCTCTTTGATTTGAATAATGTCGGCTATCGGTGCTTTAGTGCCATAATCGACGCGGTTTGGTGTAATTAAATTTATGTAATCTTGAATTTGCTTGCGCTTTTCTTCGGGCATGTTAACACTGGAGCGAATATCATTTAAAACCTAGCATTTATTTTATATTAGTGATGGAATTTTATTATACATTTTCTTAAAAATAAAATATATAGATATGTAATAGTTCAAGAATGCAATCTCCTCTTTTTATATATTGTTAAAAGAAAATGCAATGGAGTCGTTCTACCCATCAAAATAATTTTACTCCCGCTACTTTAAAAAGTTACTACACAATGGAAACGATAATTAGACATACAAATAAATAAATGCAATAATTGCTAAAATTTAATTAAGAATTGTTAATAAAAACAGCTAACAATTGAAAAAATTAAAATACAGTTTTACATGAACTTACTACATCATCGTCATCATCGGAATCTGGTACTACATAGACATTATTATCTATAACAGGCCTAGGATTTCTTCGTACGCTTTTTTCAACAAGTATTGGAGTATCGTCAATTTCGTAGACATGTATTGGTTTACTATCTTGCATTGCCTGCATTGAGAATTCATAGAGCTAGTTCTTAAATATGTTAGTTTGTAATAAATAATTAATCAAGCAAAATGTAAATGTCATCTAATATTTTTTTGCTGTGCTTTTTGTTGTACTTTATCAAAAGTTAAATATGTAACAGTAATATTGTATAAACAATTGGTAATTAATAAAGAGCAACAAACAGCAAATGGTTACAAAATAAAAACCACCTTTACTCTTCATTTATATACCTTTACAAATAAATTAAAATTTTATTGATAGAAACAATCATGATAAAAAAAACTAGTAAATGCTGAAGTTAAGCATTTTTAATCTTCAAAGTCAGATTAAATTGTTTTTGTGGTAAGTATAAAGACTTAAGATGTTATGTGTAAAATAAAAATAAAAAGGAGTAAAGTTTTATTGACTCAAAAACCCTCAATAAAAACGTTTTTACCCTAAAAATTGTCTATGATTTCCACGTTCATTAAAAAAAGAGGAAAAAATGGAAACTGTATTAATTTCTTACTGTAGTTTTTGTCCTTATTCTTGTGTTATATGGACTAGAATGTAATGACGAAGTTGAGACGCTTCTTTTACGAATATTTCCTCTAGATGTTTTTTTACATGATGGTGAGACTTTCTTAGTTTGAGTTTGAGAACCGTTATTTTGTCTTTTCGAAACATTTTTTCTTAGTTTCCTTGGTCTTGCCATTCTTTTCTTAATTTTAAATTTCACCGATAATGAAGTAAAACAACTTTTAGGCTTGTTAAAAACAAAGTTAACACTCACTTTCTACAAATAATAAAACTAAAACAAGGAAATTTTTATAATTACTGTGATTGTATTAACAATACTATTAATAATGTCACTATATTTTTCTCCATTAAAGGGACTAAATTTCTATAGATGTTTTTACACTTTTTATTTTAATAAAAACAAACTATTTATCTAGCCGATAATTTTTGTGATTACACCATACCAGTACAGCAACATTCGACGCACAT